TCGAATGCTGTTCGAGTTGTTTGAATGGTTTCTACCTTCCGGTCGCCCACACCATGGGAGGATACTTGTTTTTGAGGTATTTAAAAGGCGAATTAGATTGGTAATAGTTTTAATGACTTGATCGTGACTGCTTAAGGCCGGTCACACATGGCCGTTTCGCGAATCGTTTTTCTGAGTAAGCTTTGCACTGTAGCATAGTGCTATGCTATTACTGAGTGGCAACTTGATTCAGTGCATTTATGTTCCCGGTCCTACGTTGCGTATGACTAGCTGGTTACCTTTGAAGGCCATGCTGTTCATGGAGAGAATTGAGGTGTGCTATTATTGTAATCCATCATTTAAACCCCTTCTCTGCAGATGCCGGTCGTCTGAGGTAATCACTTCGCTGTTGTCACATCTCTATACAGTCATCAGTACTACATCACCCTCGAACCAAGAGTTTTGTTTCTTGTCTAATTTCCCAACCCACCTGCCTGGTATAGTAATTCAAAAAATGTTTTATAAAATCTTACCTAAAAGTAAGGGGATGGTCTAGTAATCAGAGTATTCGGCGTTTACTCATTGAGTAGAGCAGTGATCTCGTAGTTAAGGCGTCCGATTTTCAGCCACTAGGTCCCAGGTTCAATCTCCGCCTCATCTACTTCGGTTTGGACAGCCATTTAGTATCATTAGACCCCACAAGAAGAGGATGGCTTACAACCAAGTACCTGATGAGTGAGTTAATTCGATTTAATGATCATTAAGTTCCAAGTTCATCTGTTTCAGTTTGAACTGCTAGTCATGATGACTAGATTTCACAACAAATCACAACTCGAAACTAAATACACAAATCGATACTTATTTGTCGAGTTGCATTTAGATATTTGAAAAATATTCATTGACTAACGTCTTTTACATTTTTAAAAACAATCATGAAAGAAAAGTGATCAGAGAAAATTATAAGGGCTAATACATTTTCCAAAGATAAAGATACGCTATCGTAAACTATGCTGAGCTCTGACGTTGGCAATCTGTGTGGCTGTAAATTATTAAACTAGAATTATCCACATTTCTCTGTGCTGTTAGTCATTTAGTTTGATTCTACCCCATGACATTAGTTTGACACCTCTTTTGACCGTAACTGTCTTGATATCACTATGAACCAAACGAACTATATTGGCTGGGACACTCATTCGTTCAGGTCCTATCATATTAGAGTAGGGGGAGGGTTGGAGAATGGTGAAACCAAAAGTAATAAACTCTTGGTCCGAGGGTGATGTACTGATGACTGTATAGAGGTGTGACAGCAGTAAATTGTTCACCCCGGACAACCAGTATCTGCAGCAAACCTGCCTTTCCATAATGGGATATATTCAAAAAGATCAATCCTAAAAATAACACACCGTAACATTCCCTTTAGACTATCGAAGCTAGCGATAAGGCTTTTACAGTATAAAGCTAACAAATGAAGAACTACTCACAAAAAGGCCATGTGACCGGCCTCGGGGAGTTGCTCCTTGGGCTATATTGTCACGCTCCCACGTTGTTAAGATCCATTCTTGACCCAGTTTCCTTCTAACACACCTGAAAGAGTACCCTTCCACGTCATGGGCAGCCGAATAATAATCCTTTGGAGACAGCGATGATCGAACACAGAGAGTCGTCTAACATTCTCAACTCGGAGAGGCCAGGTTTCACAAGCATAGAGCAAAACTGCTCTCACCGACGCGTTGTAGATCCAACCTTTTACAGCCAGACTAACATCACGAAGGCGCCAAAGATGGCCCAGATTGGCATAAGCCGCTCTGGCTTTCACTATACGTGCATTGATCTCATCACTCACACCACCACCAGCACTTATGCAGCTACCTAGATACATAAACTTCTCGACTACTTCTATCTGCTCACCATCCACAGTGAGTACAGGATTAGAATCCTGCCAGTCTTGTAGAAGTAATTTGCACTTCGAAGGTGCAAAGCAAATACCATACCTACGGACACTGATTGCCAACTGATTAAGTGCGGATTGCATGGCTTAGGCATTATCGCACAGTAAGACAATATCATCCGCATACTCAAGGTTGAGAAGTCTTTCCCCAGGCAACAAATCCACACCATCATTACTTACATCCATCAGCGCTGTTTCCAGAATGTCATCGATGGCCAAGTTGAAGAGGAACGGTGAGATTGGGAAACCCTGCCTAACCCCACTACTCGAATGGAATAGTGGAGAAAGGTGGTTGTATGCCCTCACTCTGCCTGAGGTGTTTGTGTATAGGGCTTTTAGGATGTTAATAAACTTCTCAGGCACACCCTTCTTCAATAGACAATCCCAGAGAACAGTTCTGTCCAACGAATCGAAGGCAGCCCTGATGTCAAGAAACACTACGATTGTTGGCCTTTGATAAGTATGGCGGTGATCTAACATTTGGCGGAGGGTGAACATATGATCAATACATCCTCGACCAGAACGAAACCCAGCCTGCTCCTCGCGAGTCAATCCTTCTCGGGTTTTGAACAACCTACGAAGTATACGGAAGCCAATAGCTTGGACGCAATCAGAAGTAGACTTATCCTTCACGATTCCCTGGCTGGGGTTCGAGAGATGATGTAACACAATGGCTAGAGAGGTTATCAGATATGGCTCAAAATAGAAGCCAGTGGCGATCCTGCTGTAACCTTCTTTTAATTCCTTCGTAAAGAGTGGTTGTATCTTTCTTAATTGTAAGATTTCCTCTGATTGTACCTTTTCGTTTCCCTCATTTTCGCTCTTTTTTTATAATTCCCTACGTTCCTTACATTTTTTCCTTCTCTTTAAATCCTTATTGTTTTGTGTGGCGCATATATATTTGGTGCCCCCTTGTACCAATATTTATGTGTTCAAATAAATAAATAAATATCCCCCGATAGTTGTTACAGGAACGACGTGAACCCTTCTTAAAGATAAGGACTACTATCAACTCATTCCATGACGTTGGTACACTCTCTAGTTCCCAGATCTTTGTAAACAACGTCGTCTGTCCCTTAGTCAGAAAGTCACCACCATCTTTAAAAAGAGCCGGAGGTAAGTCATCTGGGCCCGGTGATTTGTAACGTTTCAAGAGTTGGAGTTCCTTGCGGACTTCCGCCTCATTTGGTGGATCAGTCGTCACCGGCCATGAAGGGCAGGACAGTCTGACCGATGTTGCCGGAGCAGCAGGCCAGTTGAACTGCCCTCCGAAAAATTCTGCCCATCGTCCAAGACGTCGATGGATGTTAGTGATTGGCGTTCCGACATCCTCGCAGATTGTTTCGCTCACACCAGACTTCTTGATGCAAGTGGCTCGGATGAGTTGGAAGAGCTTTCGGTAATTACCAGATGCAGCTGCTGCTTCCAACTCACTGGCACGCTCCGACCACCAGGCTTCTCGGTCCTTACGCAAGCTTTGCCCGATTTCATTTCGTAACATCCTTCGTTTGTGGTCAAACTCACGGTCACCCGGAGTAGACCGACGGGCTTCGATGAGTTGTAAGGAACCAGAAGAAACGCAGTGCTTGTAAGCGGGACGTTTCGCGAACCCACAACAGACTGTACCCGCCATTTTCATGGCGTCATGCAATTGCAACCAATGCTCATCGATACTTTTCGGTGGAATGGTAGCTAGCCTAGAAGCTAGCTTGCTAACGTCAATCCTTTGGTGGCAGAAACTTCGTTGTCCACTGAAAAGTAAGGTAAGATTGGCGCAGACCAGGGCATGATCAGATTCCAGATAGGTACTCCAAAAGGAGCGGCAGTCTTGTACACAACAAACGCCAGCGGTAGCTGATCGCGATGTGATCAATCTGAGTCCAGGCTTGAGATGCAGACGGGGGACGCCAGGTGGCACTTTGATGGAACTTTCTAATCTAACAGCACATAACCGACTGTTAATGGGGATCCAGTCGATTAGTGCTGCCTCAGCTCTAGCGCTTAGTGCGACACCAACGCCAGCAAGACCAGACGAAGATGCCACAGGGTCCCCGGATAAACGCACATAAAACAAGCTTTTTGAAGTGACAGATGGAGAACGAACTTGTAGTACTTTACCAGAGTCTTGAATACGGGTCTCGGATAGACAACAAACGTCAGTATTAAGACTTTCCAAAGACATAGCCAGCCCTATCATATTCGGTGGTAACATACAATTTTCAACCAGGCGGTGACTCGAGAACGTTTAGATACAGCCGAATTTCCACCATAGGCGAGCTGCTGTCTAAGTCGAAACGGATACATAAAGTGGGAATAAGAGAGAGTGAATAAATGACGTGGTAAAATAATAATAATAACAATGATAATAATAATAGTGGTGCGAGTCAATTCATTGTAAATCGGAGCGAAAAGAATATTTTCCATAAGTAAATAGTTCATCATGTTTTAGTGCGTGGGCTGGGATACTGCTTGGCTGCCCAGACAGAAGCAGGTGGTTTTCTTAGGGGGCCACACCCCGAGCCTTTGACCTGAAGGTCTAGTCCACAAGGCAGTGGAGCATCGTGAGGAGATGCAGTACCATGGAAGCCGGTGACCAAAAATTGGTTCATACGCCATTTGTTCCCGCTGGATACTGGAGCCCATGTGCACCACTGATATGGGATCCGGTTATAGCGCCGGACATTCGCTTTTCGTCCTCATTTTAGTAAACAACACCCCCGCCACGAGAAGGCAGTGAGTAGGACTTCCCTTGCAGAGGCTGTATACGCGTGGCCGTGTGAGAGTATTTCGAGAGGGAGGGTGAACCCACCCCACTCTCGGCCATACCAGTGCGTTTGGGGGCACATAAAACCATTGGATGTTGAATAAGTGGTCTAGAAGTTAGGCGCCGCTGAGATACGTAAAGGTCCTGAGCTCGTGGGTACGCTCTGTCAAGGGGTTACATAATAGGAAAAAAAATTGTTCAACGCCTCCACGTTTTTAGTGATCATCCAACTAAAATCAATCCATGAAGTAAACAATGAAATTCAACAATCTCTACAAAACCCTACAGTAACCATAATAGTTGGTTTGATTAATGATAATGAAACAAATCAAAACTTACATCGTCTGGACAATCCAAAACAATGACATTTTTTAATATTGTATGAGGGCCTAAATCTTTTTCCCAACACAAACGATTTTCATTATTACGTGGAAAACCATCCACAAGAAAATTCGTACAATTAGCATTTTCAGAATTTTTTCGCATTGCCTACAAATAGAAATATTATATTGTGTATCCAAAAAAAATAATAAAATAACGAATATCACCTTCAAATCAAACTAATCTCCACTGATTAATGATTCAGTGATTAAGGCATTCAACCCTGAGTTCTTAAATAGGATGTCTAAACCCCGGTCCAAACAATTCAGTTTGAAAAGCAGGTAAGTGGTATCATTAACCTTTACATTTAGAGTGTGGCTTCAAGTCAAGTAAACAAGTCTGTACGTGGTTAATGAGTCAGTAAATAAATTTTGTACAAGTCAGTAACTACGCTAACCTCACACAACAAAACAAAACTCATGATTGAACCAAACAATCTGTTTTTTTACCAATAAAAAAATATTTAACGAATGCAACAATCATTCGTACACGACATAAGCAGAGATAGATGATGACTAACAGGATGCACGTTTTGGAAATAAACAACATGGTTCAAGAAAAAACTAATTCGCCGGATGAAAACTATAAAATAATTTCAAACTCAAGATTTAAGGAATTACAAAGAATGAATCTATGTGAACCACTTCTTTAACTATGTTACCAAACACTTCCGAAAATTGCCTACAATGATTCAGATGATCACAACCAGGTATCTGTATCTGCCAACAAGGTTTAATCCAACAGTCACAAGTTTTTTTTTGGCCGCGATTAACTCTACAAAATATATCAGGCGAAAAATGCACATTCGACAATCTATTTTTTGTAACCAGAGCATTATCAGAAAAGTATGTGGTATATATAATTAGCTTGATCTTATGATGGAAAATACCTACACACTGACTAAATTGTCAGTCTAAAATAATCAAAATGTACATGAAATAACCACCAAAAGTAAAAACTGGACCAACTTGATATAATAAACCACAGGTAATTTTAGCCGGTACGATTGTCCCATTTTTCATGTGTTCTTGTATTTCACTAGCAAATTCAGAATCTGATGAATCACGAGCTTGTCGAAGTAATTCCCCAGCAGATAAGTGTACAAATCCATATTCCTGATAAAAGTTAGATAGAAAAAATTTTTAAAAACGTAGTACGGAAGCAAAATATTACAAAATCATACTATTTGTAAATGAACAATTCAAATAGTAAGTCGGCCATCATTACCAAATCTCTGTTTAGATGATAAAAAATTAACTAATGATCTGAGTGACATACATATAGATATGTATACTTCCTAGTTAGGATCTCCACGATAATCTTAGTCAAAGGTTGATAATCGTAAATGATATAAATATAGTAAATCCATTGACTAGGTAGTGGATTTTTATCTACTGAGATGATTAGGATATATATTACGTATCCCCACCCACCGATTAACTCCACAAACAGTGTCTGCTAACAAAGCAGGTTAGAAAAACTTTAGTTGTGGCCAAACTAAAACGTGATATCAATTCATGAAGACATTGGCTACTGGACTGGGCCATGTAATTATGTGGGTTGTGGTCAACGCCGTACAAAAAGTAAATTCAAATAAACTAGGTTTACTGACCTTCACAATTTGCTGGCATACTGTACCTTTCCCAGCACCCGGTCCACCCAAAACAAAACAAATATTGAACTTCATATCCCGCCAACTGATGGTATCTGATTTAATGAAAACTGACCTTGCAACACAGAGTGACCAGATGATTCTAAAACAAAATTAAACCAAATTCCAAGAAAATAAACATTGTACTTCCTAAGATTATTGGATTGTTGAAGACATTGATATTTGGACACGATATGTTGCATAAGTTTATACATATTCATATACTTCTTTTTTGCAACTTTCCCAATAAGAAATAGAACCTTTATGATTTAAATGGGGTGGGATGTATATAAATATGTTGATAACGAGAAATACCACTGAAAATACCTCACAATAACCTACATAAATATACTCGTGATAACTGATAACTAAAAATGTGATGGTCGCAATTGTGAAAATAGTTTCTGTCACGATTAGATCAGAGCATAACCATAAAGCAGAATCAGAAAAGGAGAAGATACATGATACTATCTCTTTAAGTTGTAGCAGAAATATGTTTTTCAAGCAATTAAGTATTTGGCGGCACTAATGAACATTGGCTGATAACTGTTAAGTGATTGGACGACTAAGCGCACTTAATTTGTCCCAGGATTTAATATTTAACCTGTCCATCAAAATTTTAAGCTATGATGAAGAAAATGAACACTAGACTTTAGTACAGAGATTTTGTATACAACACTGAAATTAACCAAGAAAACAACATTGAACACTAAAAAAGATGAATTTGCAGTTACTAATATGATATGAACACCAATCGATAAGAACCCGAAATCTAAGTTGCCCTACTATATGAGATTTAACGTGTTTATTAATGTATGTATTAGATTTATGAGTGTTAAATGATCCACACACCCAAAAATATCACAATTGATATATATGATGAAAATTCATCAGAAAACGCATAAAACTGAAATTTTCTGAAAGGAAATCAAATTAATTACTGTATTCTATATAAAATGATAAAAGGATTCTAATTTGGATGGTGGTTTAACTGATAAATTTATTGCCTGTTTACATACTAGGAACACAAACATATGAAATTTGAGAGCGCAATATTGTTATGACCAACTTAAATGAGTCGGATAAACCTAACCTCAAAACTAGTACAACTTAATCTAAAAAGATTACTGTCAAGAACATTTTGAGAAGTAATACATCGAGGTTATATACTAAGTAATTAGGGTCGGCGAGAGATGATAATACTATTCCTTAATCACATAGATTCCTTAAGCTGATTCTACGGTAGGTAAATAGGTCTCATTTTGAGTAAAGGGTTGTCTTACAACAAATTCAACACTTCAGACTAAACAATTTTACTGGTTCTGACGGTATAAACTCTTGAATTAAAGGAGCTCTATGTGATATGACTCCACACCGCTGACACTACTATTCAAAATGTAACTGGGCCAGTTTAGACTGGGATTAGTCTTACTAGTTTAGTCATTAAACTGATGCGGATGATTCATTCTGCTATTGAGCATTGCATGAAGGGAGCGAATATTCGCAAGGGAAAAACATTGTCATTCTAGCAGATTACACATTCATAAGTAACCTTAATGGGATAAAAGATTAGGCCAAATCTAAAGATAGACATACTGAGGTAAGAGTATTACCTACTGACTACAATAGCGGTTTATCATACAGAACTTCATTAAGATGAAGTTAAACGATTAATTATACAGTCAAAGAATAGGTTAGACTTCGTAAAAGGAGGTAAGGAATAAGAGCGAGTGACACTTCATCATCATGTGATCTGTAGATGAAAATTCTGGGCCCGTTCTCTATTTTGATTTACGTAAATGATCTATTTTGACTGATAAAGCCATGTACCCTGCTGTTTGAAGACAAACTTAAGGTATGAAGAAATACACACAATGTAAATTTAGAGGTAGAGTTGAGGTGAGACTAAAATTTAATTATTGACCAAAATTGATAGTCGCAAGTAGACTCTAGAAAACGTCATAAAGCAAATACAGTTTGGCGATTCACATTTCAACGCATAGCACGGAACAGTCATAGCAAGTAACGACCTCAGAACCACGATCGGTAGACATATGTTCAGCACTTTGTGATGAATTTTGAGACTATGACATTAATTTTCTAAATATATAGTACTAAAAGCAAAAGACATAAGCCATGAACAACAATAATCGGACTTTAAATTTCACACCTCACATACCTAGTTCAGTCTATTAGAATCAATGTTTCGCCCTTCAGTTCCAATATTCGAAACGCGAAACCATGAATTACGGAATACAATTTATGAACCCTTACTCCTACCTTTAGCACCTATTCCTAATTTTTCACATTAATCTATGATCTTATTTTGACCTCAATAAGTAGGTGGGCTATCAATGTCACTACGGAATCTTTCTGAGGTACATAAATACTACCATACTGACAACTTTAAGCGAATTGGAGAGTTGCTTTGAGATAAAATAATCAAAAATCAGCAATCGGAATGCAACTTTTAGTAGGTGCTCCAAAGTATTAGGAATTTTAGAAACGTTAGTAAACTAATTAGTGCTAAATTCAGGTCATTGAGGATGGAAATTAACGCTCTGTTTTTAGGGTAGATCCTATTAATTAATTCAGCATCTTTTAAAGCATAGCTATACTAACCCTCAAACTCCAAACGCTGACTCTCGATTGAAACACTCCTTACCCAAGTATACTAACCTCAGTAGTTCGCTACATAGGTAAATCACCATTCAATCTTTTCGAAATACAAAACATAAGGAACACCAGTAGATTCAGCGGAAAGCTATCCAAACGACATTTTAAAATAGCACGTTAACCTATTGAAAATTAATAAAGCACACACGTCCGATGGTATAATGTAAATAAACTGAGAGTTTTTAAGAGTTCTTACGCGAAAAAGCATGAACAGTAGGCAAACACGTAAAACCAAAACCACCTGGTGACCCTGAGTGCTGACAAAGTATCCAAATCCTTTGAAAATAGTGCCGAAAATATGTTGAAACAGGCAACTGACCAATGCCTCAAATATTCATTGTAGGACAATATAAAAAGATTATTTCACTTTAGGTTCATTATAAATTTAAGCATCATTGACAGAATAAAGGTAGCGTCAGAAAGGCGAACATAAAAATTCGTAAAATTCAAATTGAGTGACGATAACCCTTCTAGAAGTATCTCACACTGCTGTAGGATTTTGGTTATATACTTTAATCAAGTATGCTTTTGAAAATGTAGACTCATCTTTAAAGGTAGCTGTCTGGTCATAGATGTGTGGCAACGGTAAAGATCGTGGTTGATTTTCGTGTTAATTCACCGATAATCACCCATTGGACACAAAGTTATGTTATCATTGTTGGAGACCATATGCAAAGCAGATGCTCGCGGATCGTTTGACTGTCAGATTGTTTTTAAACCTATTATTTAACGGAATTCATTTCTGTCTAGTCTTAGCTTTTCAGGGGCTATTTGGTGCGCTTTCGAAAATACAGATAGTCTCATAGTTCTATTGTAATGTGCTAATTCGCTGGTTGCACATGAAAATTATGTTCATGTTTTGTACGCTTCGGGACACTTGTTGTAAATGGCTTAATAATATGAATTGATCACATGTTTGATTGCGACCAGACATTACTTATAAACACGAAACGGAACTCCGCAATCAGATAATTTAGTACTTCTGTCGATTAACCTCCGTACCCCAATGGTGATCTGGTGCGGATTCACTACTGTCTTCAGCTAAAGTGTATCTAGTAAAACTAATGAGCTCAGCATCAGTGTTGCAGGTTAATAAAACTATTGATTTCGGAAATTTACTTAATGCTATTGATCCATTTCAGCGGGCCTAAAGAATTCAACCTGTGTTTGATGAGATGATTTTTGAAGGTATGTAGATATACTTGTCTTAATTCAGTGTATCTACAAAGAGGAAGCTGTTCTGTCGATGTTATATTCATAGATTTTAGCAAAGCATTTGACAAGGTTTCACACTCAGGTCTTATACAGAAGCTCACAAGCTTCGGAATAATAGGTACCGTACAGGAGTGGATAGGAAACTTCTTACATGACCGCAGACAGAGAGTGAGGGTCAATGGGACGCTATCCGATTGGAAGCCGGTCAAAAGTGGTGTACCCCAAGGCACCATATTAGGCCCTCTGCTATTCCTTCTCTACGTAAATGAATTACCGCTGTTGCTTAGGTCGTCGATATTATTATTTGCGGATGATGTCAAAATATGGAGAGCAATAAGAGGTGATGCAGATCATCTGGATCTTCAATCTGACTTAGACGATTTAGTTAGATGGGCTCGAGATTGGGGTTTAGAAATCAACTCTAGGAAGAGTGTGCTAATGCACATCGGTCACGGCAATAATTACCATTATACTATTGATGGCAAACCTCTTCCATGCGTTCAAGAACATAAAGACTTAGGAGTAGTAATAAGTCATGATTTAAAAACAACTGCGCACTGCAACGCAGCCGCTGTCAAAGGTTTTCGTGCGTTATGGTCACTTCGCCGAGCGTTCAAATCCTTTGACGAGGAAATGTTTCGAATTTTATATCCCACCTATGTAAGACCACATTTAGAGTACTGTATTCAAGCAGCTAGCCCATGTCTGATAAAGTATACTACCTCACTTGAGCGTGTCCAGCGTGTGGGAACGAAATTAGTGAAGGGTCTTTCTAAACTCCCTTACGATGAGCGTTTAAAACGCTTAAACCTTTTCCCTTTGTCGTATCGTAGGATTCGAGGTGACCTTATACTGGCATTTCGTATCTTTAATTATGATTTGGGTGTTAATATGTCTTATCTTTTTGCTCCCTCCAGCACTAATAATCTCCGAGGTCATAGCAAGAAGGTTCATAAACCACGATCTAATAAACTCAAGGTGGGGTTCCGTTTTTCTCATCGAGTAGTCAATGATTGGAACGCTTTGCCCGATCAAGTGGTATCAGCCCCATCAGTGAATATTTTCAAAGAGAAACTGGACCTTCACTGGAAGCCAACCTGTTAGGATTAACACAGGTTCACTAACCTACTATCCTTATTACTGAA